GAGCGCCACCGCGCTTCCCAAGCGGCGCACTACCCAGTGCGCCACCGGGCCGGCCCCTATACTTTTTAAAATAACTAGCCATTTTTCTCATTTTAAAAATTAATTAGCATAAAGTTGTTCTAATATTGTGATTTTTAAAAACCTCTATTTGTAAGTGTAACTATGTCTACTCAAGCTTTTTTGTACTTTTTTGCTTGTTCTAGGAAGATCAATCATGCCTGATTTGTCTTTTTAAAGAACTACCTTCTGGGTTTTGTGAATCTCTTTAAGTCATTAATTTCTGCTCTTTATTATTTTCATCCTTCTGTTTTAGATATTTTACTCTGATGCTCTTTATAATTCCCTGACTGGATCACTTAGATCATTTTCTTCATAGCGGATCATTTATTTAGCTAGTTTTGGTTTTCAGCAGTGATTTTTTTTTTTTTTTTTTTTTTACCACGAGCCTTGAGTTAATGAAGCTCCATTTCATATGCCACAAAAGAAAGAAAAAAACATTGTCAACTGAACTATGATGCACTATTCTGAAAAAACATTCCAATCCCAGAGATGTTAAAAAGTGAAAACATAGGCACCTCAAATTGACGAAAGGCAGCATTAATCTCCAATTCATGAATCTGTCTCATTACCCAGAGCACACGGTACGAAATTCTCCAGACATTAGCTTACTGAAGGATTCCCTTATCTTTCATTTTTTCAGTGTGCCTCTGTTTCCCCTCCCAGCAAAGCTCCATGATAAAAGAAATCTATATAAGCCATTTCCACTATCTTACCTGCATTTTTTCCTCAGCTCACTAGAACTGTGCTGATTTGGGTCCCCTAATATTGTGTCCTCTTCTACCAAATAGTCTTTTAAGTAATCTCATATATTGCTACAGATTTACCTAACTCTTGTTTACTCTCAAGTTAGTATTTCCAGGCTTCTCTCTCAAATATTTATAACTGCCTACTGAAGATACCTATCTAGATGAACCACTGGCACCTTCAATTCAACATGCCTGCATCTGAACTAATTACCTCCCCTATTCCCCCCAATAATGTGTTTCTTCTTGATAAAAGCTCTACCAGTCACCAGAGTCAAAAATTTGAGTGTCATCATATTCTTCCTCTTTAAAAACCAAAGCACTATCAATTCTACTACTCATGTATTTCCTTTGTGTTCTTTTATTTGTTTTGTTTTAAACAATCACTGCTTTAGATCAAACTTGCAAAATTTCTTATTTTGAATATACCACCAGCCTCTAAAGAGAAAGTCTAACAGATCCATTAATAAAAATCAAACCAGTTACACTGCCAGAAAGGAAAGAATCAACATATGAAGAGAGGTGGAGATGGGCCATAAAACTATAGTTGTACTCATCAAAATTCACCTTTTCTTGGGGGTCCTTTACTAATCATTGCTGCCATCCATTCTCTTTCACTGCCAACCTGTACCTGTTTAGTTTTCTTAAGGCGCTGGATGGTTTTCCTACACCTCCTAATAGATATCCTTATATCCATTATCATCTACCCTATATTTTATCTTCCACCCTGCAATGAGCAAGGTTTTAGAAATGCATTTCTAAAATGCAGCTTTTCAAAAACTCTCCACTGCCTGACTATAAAGACCTAACTCCTTAACAGACCAATCAAAACCTTTTTGCCCATCTCCCTTCACTTCCAAGGCATCCTGTCTGCCAGTCACACCAAGCTCCTTGTGAAACCTAAATACGTCACAAGCATCTGTCCTTCTTGACTTTATACATTCGATTTCCTTTGCCTGAAAAGTTTCTCTCTCCTCAATTGATCTATTACCTGGTAAATTGAATCCACCTTTAAGACTTGCTTGAGTATAACTCTGTTTCATGAAACGTCCTACACAGTCTTCCCAAATTTCCAATCTTCTCTTTCTCCCAGTTCTCACAAAACTTGTTCCAATTACTGTTATATGGATGCTTCCTTCAATACTCATTCTAAAAATACTTCGGTGTTTATGAATAGGTAGGTTCTCCCATTTCCAGTATAAACTGGCTTTTATCTTCAATATGCCACTGAAATGACCTCTCTCAGATCATTAAAGAATTCTAAATCCATTAGCTAAAACAGTCTTTATATTATTTTATCTTTCTTTGACATCTGATAATCACTGACCAAATGCAAGACACTAGGCCCTAAGGTTGCAAAAATGAATGAAGACCACTTTTACCTTTAAAGAAGTAACAATCTAATGGCACTGACAGTTATTTATATATTCTATTTGTAATAATATGGTATGTTCTGAGCAAGGACCATTTTCTATTTACCTTTGCATACCCTGAACCTAGTACAGATTGAGCATTCCTAATCTGAAAGTCCAAAATGCTCTAAAATCTGAAACTTTTTTTTTTTTTCGTTTTTTTGTCTTTTTTGGTGACCAGCAACGGATCACAACCCTCAGTGTCGCGCCTGTACCGGACCGGGACCGGCAACGGGATCACAACCCTCGGTGTTGCTCCCGCACCTTGCTCAGCCAGTGAGCGGCCGGTCTGTATGTGGGATCCGAACCCTCGGCGGGAGCGCCGCCGCGCTACCAAGAGGCGCACTGCCGGGCCGGCCCCTAAAATCTGAAACTTTTTAGTGCAGACATGACACTCAAAGGAAATGCTCACTAGATTTCAGGTTTTCGATTAGAGATGCTCAATCTACAATATTTCGAAATCTGAGGGAAATTTTCTGGTTTTTTTGTTTGTTTGTTTTGTTTTGACAGCTGGCCAGTGGGGGTCAGAACCCATAATCCTGGTGTTATAAGGTTATGCTCTAACCAACTGAGCTAACCAGCTAGCCCTCAAAATCTGAAAATCTGAAATCCTAAACACTTCCGGTCCCAGAAATTTTGGATAAGGAATACTGGCCTTTAACCAATATGTTAGTTGAGTGAATGAAGGCAGTTTAATACAGGTTCAATCAACTTGCCTCCTTTTCACCTCAAAATATAGCTTTACTATTCCTCTCATCTTAAAGATAGATCATCTTTTCCAAGGATAACCCATCCTCTTGTGCCTTTGATTCCAGATACTTCCATGTATCTGGACTTGCCTTCCATCAATATCCATTATAGAATTCTCTTTTACTGTCAATCTTTTTCTTAAGATTAAAAAACCACTTTTTTTGAGACCCTATCTTTTCAATCTAACAATAGCACATTCCCTTGTCTTCTTGAACACTCACTACTATTTCCTGGGTTCATAAAGTATTCTTGATGATGGTTCACTTATAATCTGCTTAATGCCCTCATCACTTCTACCAAAACTTTTCATTCTTGATGGTCATTAATAAAGATACCAACTGTAATCTGTAAAGCCTATTGGTCTGTTCTCATCCATCTGCCTCTACTTTTTTGCAGCATTTGACATTGCTGACTACTACCCCAAAACTTTTTTATTCAATAACACTGCATTCTTTGGGTTCTACTTTCTCTGTCATTGCTCAGAATAAATAGGAAGACAATTTTCAACTGAGTCAGGAAGAAGGAAAAAGGATTTTCCCATTGCTGGTTGTTTCTGGGTATACAATTAATAAAAAAAAGGATAGGACACACAGAGTAGCCATGTGACCCAGTAATTCCATTCCTAGGTTTAAACCTAAGAGAACTAAAGACTTATTTATGTCCATACAAAAGCCTGTGCATGAATTTTTTATTTTTATTTTTTGGCAGCTGGCTGGTAAGGGGATCCGTATCTGTGTGTGAATTTTCATAGCAGTGGTCACTCATAATAGCTAAAAGTGGAAACAACCCAAATATCCATCAGCTGATGAATGGACAGATAAATAAAATGTTGCATATCCATCAATGGAAAATTATTCAGTCATAAAAAGGAATGAAGTACTGATACAAGCAATAACATGGATGAACTTGAAAACATTATGCTAAGTGAAGGAAGCCAAACACAAAAGGCCACATACTGTGTATTAACGTTTTTATAAAATATTCAAAACAAGCAAATATATAGACAGAAAGACTGGTCATGATCAGTGATGTGGGTAGTGGAGGGTAGTGAATGACTGCAAATAGTTATGAGGTTTGCTGTGGGACAACAATGAAAATGTTCTGAAATTAGTGGTGATTGTTGTACAAATGTGGTACATTAACAATCAATGAATTATACACATTAAAAGGGTCCTTTTTTTTTTGGCAGCTGGCAAGTACGGGGATCTGAACACCTTGGCGTTATCAACAGCATGCTCTAAACTACTGAACTAACTGGCCAGAAGGGTAAATTTTATGGTATGAGAATCATGCTTCAATTTTATAAAAAAAGGACTGGTACGGTTTTGTAGGCCAGTAAGTCAAGGGCTGTTCATATTGAAGCCAGTGGTTGTGTGCTTTCTTATCTAGCTTCATTTATTTATTTCCTGTCCCATTCCCCTAATGATTATGTGCAGCAAAGGCTATGTTTTTACCTACTAGTAGAGCCAGGCAAATGCAAAAATCTACCCAAGGTAAGCATCCTTCATTCATATTAAAGACCCCTGACAAAGCACCACAACAATGTTTAGACAACAATATCAAATTACTGAGTCAATTCTCACCATCAAGTATTTTTTCTCCTCTTGGTCCTGGCACATTGAGATGGCATCTTGAGGTGGAATCATATTCCAAAGTCCATCACTCCCCAAGATAATATACTTGTGCTTCTGGGGGTCAAGAGTGTGGACACTTGTGTCTGGTTCAGGTGACACCACAAACTCACCACTGAAGAAATCATAGCTCCACAAATCACCTGGGGGAAGACAAAAGGAGCAAGAGGTGTTATTTCCAAGCTAGTAGTATCATACCAACAGATTAAAGGAGAAAACCTACATGTTCATCTTAATAGATGCAGAAAAGCTTTTGATAACATTCAAAATCCGAATGCATGATAAAAACTTCCTAGCAAACTAGGAATAAAAGCGAACTCCCTTAACTGATAAAGAATATCCATTAGAATCTATAGCAAACATCTTCCTTAAAGGTAAAATGTTAAAAGTATTCCCTTTAACCAGACAGCCACCAAAAAAAAAAATTCCCTTTAAAATGAAGAAATAAGAAAACTATGCCTTGTATCATCACTTTTTTCCCCAAAACTATACTAGAGGTCTTTCCCAGCACAGTAAGATAAAAGAAATAAGTAAGACAGATGAATTGGAAAGGAGAAAATAAAACTATCATTATTTGCAGATAATTTCATTTCTACATGGAAGACCAAAAAGAAATTAGACAAATGATTTGACTTGATAGGAAAGTTTAGCAAGGTTGTTGAACCAATAGTCTTTACTATTATCACTTTTTTTTTTTTTTTTTTTTTTTTGGTGGCTGGCCTGTACGGGGATCTGAACCCTTGACCTTAGTGTTGTAACACCATGTTCTAACCAACTGAGCTAATTGGTCAGCTCCCAAACCCAATATACAAAAAGCTGTATTTCTATACACTAGCAATAAATAGAAAATATTAATTTTTAAACAATCCCATTTACAAAAGTGAACCAAATGTAAGATACTTAGGAATAAATTTAACAAAAATAAACAAGTCTTTTACAGAGATTATAGAATTAGATTCTGAAACACTAAAAAAAGTATCTAAATAAATGGAGATGCAAACCAGAACTATAGATAGACTTAATTATAAAGATGTTAATTCTTCCCAAAATAATCTATAAAATCAATGGAATTCCAACAAAACCCCAAATGAATTTTTGTAGAATTTGACAAGTACATTCGAAAACATATAGGGAAATTAGAGTGTGGTGCTGATAACACCAAGGTCAAAGTTTCAGGGCTGGCCAGTTAGCTCAGTTGGTATGCGCATAGCCTTGTAACAACAAGAGTTCAGATCCCCATACCGGCCAGCTACCCCCCGCCCCCCCAAAAAAAACCAAACAAAAAAACAGGTACTGGCCAGCTGCCAAATAAATAAATAAATAAAATGTATGGGGAAGAGCAAAGAGCCAGGATTAACCAAGACAATTCTGAAGAAAAAGGACAAGATGAGGAGAACTTGACCGATAAATAGGAGTCCCAGTGGGTATCTGAAAACCTAGGTCAATAAAGTACCTACATCAAAACTTACAGATGTAAGTGCAAACCAAGAGGCATTGCACAGGTGAGTGCTGTATCACATCTGTGCCATTAAGCAGCGGAGAGAAGGGAGGCTATGTCTATACTCAGTGTTCTGACCCATGAATGTTTGAATGATTAATAGTCTAACACTTGACATTGACCTAGCCTGGCAAGGTGTGTTTGCCTGCAACCTGAAGCCTATCTTGTAACCTTTCCTGGTTGGCTGGCCCATGTCATCTGATAGTCCTGCATTTTCACAGCAGGAGGTAGCAGTGGGTCAAGGCTGTGATGAGCTGAGGAGGAAGGAAGGTGGCTATTAACCTGGGAAGATCTAGCGTGAGTATTGGCCAGAATGACCAACAGTCACAGCCACAGCCCGGATCAAGATACAGAGGACAGAAAGGATGTGGGCCTAGCTCTGTGTCATGTGGCCAGTCAGAAGAGAGTTGCAGATATGGGCTCCCGCCCTCCAGGACCTCATGTCACATCCTCAGGTGCAGAGAGTACACAGTGTGTTTATAGCCTCATAGCAATTCTTTCCACATCATCTGCTCTGAGGTGCACCCATTCCAGAGGGGTATCACACCCCCCACCCCAGCACTATACAGCTGCAGTTTGCCCTCTGGTGCAGAACCACTTCTACAGGACCCACCCACCCACTCCCAGCCTTGTCCTCTCCACCTAGGCAGTGCCGTGCACTCCAGCTATGTGGCTACACCACAGCAAGCTAGGACCACCTTGCACAGCCTTTGTCTGCAGTGAGGGAAGGGCTCACAAGCTCTTTACTGCTGGAGGACTCAACACTTTCATCACAGTATCCTAATTCTTAGATTGTTCTGCCATTGTGGTATACTGGTAATAAATATAACCTTTTTTTTTTTTTTGGCAGCTACCCAGTAAGGGGATCTAACATTAGGGTTATAATACTGGGCTCTAACCAACTGAGCTAACTGGCCAGACCAATAAACATAATCTTTTGACAGCGTTTTTGAATTTCCTAGAACTCCCCCCACAAAAAACAAACAAATTTTTTTTTTTTAATTTTATTGAGAACAGGAGTACCCAAAGGTAACGGTGGTAATACAGAGTAGATAAGAAACCATGCCCCTTTCCCAGACGTTCGTGACTGTTAAAGGTTTCTTTTTTTTTTCGTGTCCGGCAACGGATCGCAACCCTCAGTGTTGCCCCCACACCTCGCTCAGCCAGTGAGCGGGAACCGGTCTGTACGTGGGATCCGAACCCTCGGCGGGAGCGCCACCACGGTTCCCAAGAGGCGCACTGTAGCAGTGCGCCACCGGGCCGGCCCAAAACAAACAAAAATTATAAAAAATAAAAATAAAAATAAAAAATAAAAACCTTACAGAATGAGTGCCAGTCACTTGGATGAAAACACCAGAAATAATAATGAGCATTGTGGTTTTTTTGGCAAGAAGCTGAATAATGAGCATTTTTATGCTCTTAACTTACCTTATGATCAGTCTACACAGAGCAATAATTTTCCCTTTCAGTGAGTCAGAAAAAAAAGTTCTTACCTATTTATCCTCCTGCTTGACTAACCCCACATAAAATAATGCCCAAACTCCTGCCTTTCAGACCTATTATATATGAACCTCAAGATGTTCAACAAAAAAAATTTATGGTTGACTGAGGCCATCAAAAAGATCAATAAAACTGAAATAGAAGAAAAAAATTACAGAAACCATCTACTCTTCTATAACACATAACATAAATGAAATAATATAAACTTTTCTTTTATTCCCAGAAAGTGGGGCAAAGGAGACAGAAAGGAAAAAACATTAATTTTGTCTCTTTTGTTTGTTGTGAAGTACTCAGGGGAAAGGCCTAAATTAAAAACAAAAGGTTTTTAGATAAAATTGAGATTGCATTGAACCTATAGACCAATTTGGGGAGAAATGCCATCTTAACATTATTTTCTCTCATTCTAAGAATATGATATATCTTTATTTAGGTTTACTTCAATTTCTTTCATCAGTGTTTTGTAGTTTTCCACATACTGAGCTTGAGCATATTTTGTTACCATTATACTTAAGTATTTCATGTTTTGGGGGTACAATTATAAATGATATCTAGTTAAATTTCATTTTGAATTGTTCATTTATAGTACATTAAAAATATGATAGACAGGCTGACCAGTTAGCTCAGGTGGTTAGAGTGCAGTGTTATAACACCAAGGTCAAGGGTTCGGATACCTGTACCAGCCAGCTGCCAAAAAAAAAAAAAAAAAATGACAGACTGCATATGTTGAACTTGGATCCTGTGACCTTGCTGAATTCACTTATTATTTCAATAGCTTTTTTTGAAAATTCTTTGAGATTTTTAATGCAGACAATGCTGTCATCTGTGGATAGATATGATTTAGTTAATTGCTGAACCATTTGAAATTATGTTACAGACTTAAAACACTTCACTTCTAAATATTAATACTTCAGCATGAGGATGTTCTCCAACATAGCCACATTCAGGAAATTTCATATTAATACACTACTGAATAATACAACGTCCATGTTCAAATTTCCCCAGTTGACCTAATAATGCATTTTTAATATTCCAGGATCCATTCAAGGAATATTCATCACATTTAGCTGTCATTTTTTTTAGTCATTTTTAACCCAGAACATTTCCCTAAGTTATTTCGTTTGTTTTTATCACTTATGATATTGATAATCATGAAGAGTCCAGGCCAGCTGTTTTGTAGAATGGCCCTTAATTTGAATTTGATTATTTCCTCATGTACTCATGCTATAAGGGTTAGTGGGTTTTTTTTTTTTTTTTTTTCCTTTTTTTCTTTTTTCATGTCCGGCAACGGATCGCAACCCTCTGTGTCGCGCCCGTACCAGACCGGGACCGGCAACGGGATCGCAACCCTCGGTGTTGCTCCCGCGACTCGCTCAGCCAGTGAGCGGGAACCGGTCTGTATGTGGGATCCGAACCCTCAGCGGGAGCGCCACCGCGCTCCCAAGCAGCGCACTGTAGCAGTGCGCCACCGGGCTGGCCCTGTTTTTTTGTTTTTTGTGGGGGGTTTCTTGGCCAGAATACTACATTGGTGAAGTTGTATGCCTTTCTCAGAATATCACATGAGGAGGGATAGTATGCTAATTTGTCCTGTTATTGGCAATACTAAGTTTGGTTATTTGGTTAAAGTGCTATCTATTGGCACTGTAAAGGTGTCTTTTTCTTTCTGTAATTGATGAGTAATCTCTAGGGTGAAAGTTGGAGACTGTGTGAAATATCCTGTTCTTCACCAAAATATGCCATATTTTAGCATTCACTGATGATTCTTACATGAATCGATCATTACTATAATGGCTGTGAACTGATAACAGAATTAAAACATTGTAACTACATTTGTTAGTTGACAGTCTTTTTTAAAGAAGAGCTTTCCATTCCTCTCTCTACCTCTTTACAATTTTTTCTAGTATCAGTTTGGACTTCTGGATTCTTTTTTCACTCATTATATTTTAACTTATTCCTGTTATAATTTGCCTTAATGCTCAAGTTGCTTCAAATTTGCCAGTAAAAGTCTCTAAAATATGAACTTTTAAAAAACTTACCAGATAACTCATATTCACAGCCAGTTCTTACTTTACCAGTTAAAAAAAGTCTACATGGCTTTATCTCAGATCAAATAATTAGTAAGGATCAGAATTGGGCCTTTAACTAAGA